ATCTTCACACAGGAGATGCAGAAGCCCTAATTTCTGATGTACATTGTCTCCCCCATACCTCAGTACTGGGCTCATAAGCAGCCACCCAGCAACCTATTTGTCCCACCTATGCTTCTGGTTTTTCATCTCTGACTGGCCTGTCCATTCCTCTTCCTTCTCTTCCATTCCTCTTCCTCTGTCCATTATCTTCCTGAGCTCCAGATCTGCATTTGTAGATGCCTTCCTGGAGCAACCACAGAGAACTCAAGTGCAGTTGAACATGCCTTTCAAACTTGCTCCTCCTGACTCCCCATTTCTGTTCATGGTTATCTTACACCAAAACACTTCTCTGCTATGCAAGAAATTTACATGTTATTCTCAAATATCTTTTTCTCTCTTCACCTCCAAGATCACCAAATCCTCTGAATCCACCTTTTTCTCCAGCTTACGTTACTGTCCAAATCTAGGCTCACAGTGTTGTTTCCTTGGCTGCTTGCAATATTATAATGATGCCCCTTCACTAGTCTTTATTTTTCTCAATGAAATTTATAACCAATCACGTCACCCTGTTTTAAAATTTGGACATTTCTTTTAGACTTAAGTACAAATTTCATCAAAGGCCTAGAAGACATATCAACTGGTCTATGTCCACCCTTCTAACCTCATTACCATCGCCACCCCCTCTGCCATACACACCAGGCCGCTCACCATTTCCTGTGTTCCCGGATACTCATGCATCTTAGCAACTTTGGCTTGCTCCTCTTCCCAGAATTCCTTTCCAGATCTATCTTACCCACCTGTTCATTCTTCAGGGTTTCAAATGACTTCTGACTTGTGAAGATGCCCCCTACTTTGCTTCTATAGAGGCTATTATATCATATTTTGATTTTTTTTTTTTTTTTGGTACTAGGGATTGAACTCGGGACCTTGTGCTTTGGAGGCAGGCAGCAGCACCAGTGAACTAAATCCCCGACCCCAAATTGTGATTATTTTTGTATCTATCCCCACTCTCAATTACAGGACCCCTTAGAGGCTAGGGGTAGACCTTGTTCTTTTTTTGGGTACTGGGGATCGAACTCAGGACCTTGCACTTATGAGGCAGGCGTGGTGCCACTGAGCTAAACCTCTGGCCCTCATTTTTGTATCCCCAGTTCCTAGAAGTACCTGGCATGGTCAGGAAGAAAAGGAATGGACTAGAACTCACATGCCAGCAGGCAAACAGGCACTGGTTCTCTGAGAGGATGATTTGGGGCTTTTATGGGATTTTTATGGGGATGGTGAGTAACATCAGTGTGTCACCCTAGATATTTATTCACTCAATCACCTACTCTGCACAGATATTTAGTGGGTGCTGCCAAGATGCCAGTGCTAGAAACTCAATATACAGAAGTTGCTGCCAGTCTCTGCTCAGAGGAACTCCCATTCAAGATGGAGAAGCACATGGTAGGTGCTGGCCTGGCATTCGGTGGGCCATCTGGCCTGTCTGAAGACCTTTGCCACTCAGCTCTGCAGAGGCTGTAGAGAAGGGGAAGAGGCAAGGGAGAAGGTGGCAGAGAGGGCAAGGTCAAGAGCCTTAGAAAGGGCTCTGCCTCTGAGACCAGTTGTGCTGACCAGTTGGCTTTATTTATGCATTTCTCTTTTGTACGAATCCCTTGCTGTTAATAAAGAACATTTGACACATTTCTAATTAGCCCACAGACTCTGTGGGCCCATTATTCCCAAGTGTGACAGCTGGGGCATTTCACGATCAGCAATAACATTCATAGTTCTTGCAGTTGTCCACCAGAATCAAGGCCATTCTGTCTCTGACTTCTGATAGGACCACAGAAGACTTTGTCACACTCTCTTGGGGCAGCAGGGTTTGGCCCCAGCCAGACAGCTTGGGGAGGGAGTGAGCTGCTCTGAAAGAAGCACTATTAGGAGAGTTACTACCCTGACCCACCCTGACCCTAGATGAGTTGTCCCTTTATCTGGGCTGTAGTCCTACACCCATGTCTCAGGTGCTGAAGAGAGAAGTGCATGCTTCACAGAGCTACCCTGCCTTTTTTCCCCCTTCCCTTTCTCCTTCCCTCCCTCCCTTTCATCAACAAATATTTAATGAATGTATACTGTATGCCATTACTGTAAGCACTGTCCTAAGCACTAGAGAAACTGGTGAACAAAATATAGAAGAACCTCTGAGGCCTGGGTCTGCAGTTAAGGGGTAGAGCACTTGCCTAGCACGCTCTCCCCTTCATTTATAGTGGTTTATAGAAACTCAATTTATAGATGACTTTTCCTAAGAGACAGTTGATATATTCATGCAGTCAGGTGGCAGTAGGTGGCATATGCTCCCTTGGATGGTTGGTGACCTTTGCAGGCATCAGTCTCCTCATCTGTGAAATGGGGATAGAGCACTGAATTCTGAGATTGTGTGTCTTCACAGTGTTACCTGGTAACACACGTTCTGTTCACCATCCCAGCCTTCTTTCCTGCTTAGAGCACATGTGGGCAGTGCAGGAAGGAAGAGTTCAAACCAGATCCCTCACCTATCCTCTGGGCCTCTGCTGCAGCCAAAGACAGAGCAAGAGGCTTCTGTGCTGGCCCAGGGTTTCAAGGGTAATGTGTAGACAGGCCGGGGCCCTGCCTGCTCTATGCTTCTCCTCTGCCTTGCCTCCAGCCTGCTCCACACAAACTCTGGAAGAGGCAGTCACCTGGCTGTGGAACAGGACAGTCTGTCCTTATTGGCCTGTAGGTGCACTGGGAGAGGTCAGCCTGGGGTCTGTGCTTGGCAGCAGTCCCCTGCATGTGCCCTGACCAGGCCCCTCAGGAGTCCGATCACCACCAGCACTGGCAGCAGATCTGCAAGGGGGCCTCCACGAGACGGGAGGTTGCAGGCACTGGATTTTACATGCCTTCGTTCATCCAGTTGCTCCCAGCAATACCCAAAGTTAAGGGTTGACAATGCCCCCATGTTACAGTTGGCAACTTCCTGCCCCTTCCTGCCATCCCCTAGGAAGCTCCCACCTCAGAGAGGGCACCTGCCACTCCTTTGTGGTGGCAGGGGCAATCCTCTCTTGGGGTCAGAACTGTCAGGCAATGACAGCTGGTCCCAAGTCCTGGGCAGTCAGTGGTGAGACTTGTAGAAACCCTGTACATTCTAGCTCCTCCCTCCCTCTCCTCACTGAGCCTTCTTTCTTTAGCCACCAGAAATCCCTACACTTGCTGTCAGCCTGGCATGGCCCAGCGTCATCCCCTACACCTAAGGGTGAGTGTGGACCCTCCCACCATGGGTTTCGGGGCTGTCTTTGGATCCTACATCCTTTTACCTGGTTCTCTCAAGATCAAAGGCAACCAGACACTTGTAAACCATGCTGGAAGAGGGGAGCGGCCTATGACAGCAGAGCCTTGACCTCCTGAGAGCATGTGTGAAAATGGAAGCACTGGGAGGGCAGTTCCCTTACATGTCAGTTGACTGGAGATGCCTCTGGAGCCTGATTCCTAAGGAACGTCTTCCTTGGCCTCCCTGGATTTGCTCCATGATTCATATGGAAACCAGGCTGGATTGAGAGTGGTTTTCCCCATCTATGCCAATGAACCCTAGCCCCAAGATGGTCAAATTAAATGTGTCAGGCAATGAAGATACGGAGGAGTGAAGTTGGCCTACTGCTCCAGGGCCGGGGCATCTCTGCCCCTTGCCCCTGTTGTTTGTGACTGCTACACAGCTTGTGCCTCAGACTCCCTGTTACTTCTGTAGCCCCTTTCTGAAACCCTCTTTGGTGTACCCTCCTCTTTGTAGGGTCACAGTCCTGATTGGGCCACTTTTGGACTTGTCTAGATGTCCTTGTAATTAGTCTTCTTAGTCAAGGTATTGTAGTCGCAATGATAACCCTAGGTTTTCTGGAACAAACAAACAACCGCCTTGGATTGTTCTCACTTTAGTAGAAACGTACACATCTATTGTGTACATGGTTTAGTCCCCAGTGCTGGAGAAATGGAGAAACAGAAAAGCACCACACTATTTCACTTCCACGCCTCAGTAGGGCTGATGGTATGGTTGGGTAGGACATGGCCCTGAGACCACTGTTTGCTTGATTCCCACAGGTGGCTTTATTTGCAGCCCCAACCCTACCTTCAGAAGAGCCACGATATCCAGCAGCATCAGCAGGGACCAAACTCCCTGCCAACTCCGCCCTTGGGATCCAATGGCTTCCTGAGTTCAGACTCTCCCTGCCTGGCCAACCTCAATTCCACCAAATCCTTCCCAGCATCCAGTGCTCTCCCTTAGCTCGCCAAATACTTCCACCTCTGGACCTTTGCTGGGGCTGCTATTCATATCTCTGCCCTCCCCTTTTCCAGTCTCTTAAGGATTTATTCAGATTTGTCCACCTTTTCTGAGAAGCCTCCCCAAAGACCACCTTGCACTAAATGATGTCCCCCTCTGTGATCCCTACTTCCTTATCTCATATCAGCTGCCCTGTGCCAGATGCTGTCTGATTTTCTAGTGCTGATCCCAGTCCACATTGTTTTCTGCTTGGAGTGAGAGTAGTTCACAGCTGATTCTCATCACCTCCAGCCCACTAGCTGATTCTCCATGAAGTCTGTGTCCTTGTCTCTCAGCACTGGGTTTTGCACTTTGTCGAAGAAAAGTGTCAGAAGACTGGCTCTGCCCATTAATTAGCTCTGTGCCCTTGGAGAATCATAGTCACACCTCTTTCACCTCCCTTCTTTCTCAGGAAATGATGATGATGACACGAGTGTTGACCCCTAGACAGTGAGGCGGGGTGGAGGGAAGCACCGTGAAGGCTGGGACCCCGGGGCCAGTGAGAGACATGGAGTGGCAGTATCCTATTCTCCTTGCTTTGGCTGCCAGGCAGTGCCGTCTTCTCTTCTCTTCATTCTCCCTGAATGTCAAGTGCACCAGCTTCCAATCCCTCTCTGGAGCGGCTCGAAATCCTAGGCTGCAGAAGATTCCAGTGCAAACTCAGACTCTGCTCCCCGCCCAGCCACCCCTGCCCAAGGACTCTCGGAACACACCTTGAACCCCCGCGCCAGAGCGCAGTTCGTAGCGCCGCCCGGAACTGCAGCTTCGTGGCGTGGGCCAAGGCCGGGGGTCGCGCATCTCCAGCCGGTGACTCAGGGTTGCTCAGTCAGGGGTGGGTGTGGGTAGGCGGGCCCGACGAGGGCAGCGCTAGGGCAGCCGCCGAGCGAACGGTCGCCGAGCTGTGGGAGCCGAGGCTAGTTCAGGCCCGTCGCCATTCCGCCGCGGGCGTCCGTCTCGCCGGGTCCCCAGACGCGGGAGGAAGGGCTGCGCTACTTCCCACCGGGCGCGCTCCTCTGCTAGTGCGCAGCGGCCAGGGCGGCCGGCGGCGGCGGAGCGCGGAGCCGGTTCCGCTCCCGGATGAATGGGCGCCGGGAGACGCGCGCCGGGTCTGAAGGGCATTAGGACCGTGAGGATCGCTCCGCGCTCCTGTCTCTCCCTAACACCCGCCCGCCCTCCTTTTTCTGCTCTGCAGGACTGAGCAGCCAGGCGCGAGAGAAAACAAACAGCTGGGGTTAAGAGCGCCCCCGGCCCGTCCCCGGCCCGGAGAGCACGCCGGCCCTCAGCCCGGGCGCCCGTCCGCCCACCATGAGGAAGATCCGCGCCAATGCCATCGCCATCCTGACCGCAGCCTGGATCCTGGGCACTTTCTACTACTTATGGCAGGACAGCCGAGCCCACGCAGCATCCTCCGGTGGCCGGGGTGCGAAGAGGGCCGGAGGGAGGCCGGAGCAGCTCCGCGAGGACCGCACCATCCCACTCATTGTGAGTCCGCCCCGCGCGCCGGGCGTCCCGGGAGCCGAGGGCGCGGGGCCGGGCCCGGAGATGCGTGCCCGCCGCGCCGGGCCGGCTTTGTAGACGCTCGAGCATTCCAGTTCGTTGTTATGGCAACCTCTGCCGGCAGGGCGCGGGGGGGGGGGCCTGGGTGCACGGATGGAGGGAGGGTGACAGCGGGTGGGGGCTGGGAGAAAGTGCTGCAAGTTTGGTGGGCCCGGCGTGCACGCGCTACTGGGAACGTGGCGGCTCCCTCGGCACTGCGCCGCCCCGGCTGGGGGCTGGCGGCTGGGGGCTGGGGGCTGCGGCGCTTGGCCTTGTGCGCAGCCGGAGCGCGGTGGGAGTCGCGCCGCCGAGCGCGTAGGTGGCGGTGCGAAGCGGGTCTCCAGCCTCCCGGGGGTAAAGGACGTCGGGTTGGGGGGTGGGGATCGAAGGGTCGCTACGCACCGCTCCTGGCTTAGCGCCTTCTTCTCACCCCGGGTCAACTTGGACTTGTTTCTCCGGCATTGACACCCCCGGGGCTTCTCTGGTTTGGGGAAAGGTCTCGTCCTGTATGCGTCCCTCATCCCCAACATTAGGGTCCAGCACCTCAAGTGAGCAGCAGCGTCTGCACTGGGCTGTGCGATGCCTTGGCATGAAGTCCACCCCGTTGTCCTGGCCAGCCGGGAACAAAGGCGGTGTGGCACGTCCGGGCCCTCGGCGGAGCTGCGGGGGCCCTCGGCGCTCTGGGTACTCGGGAGAGGGCTGCGAAGACCCAACCTCCCTGCAGGGGGCGTTCCTGCTGCCACCTTCGCCCAGGCTCCTGGTGACAGCTCCTTGTAGCCAAGCAGGGCACCTGTTGAGGGAGGGGACTCTGGGATCTGCCGAGAGGGCAGTGCCCTCCGTAGCGCGTTCTCCCAACGGGAGCAGGTGGTGAGTGAGATTCTGGGATGACCCTCGGGACAGACTGCTGGACCCGGGCAGCCTGGCTGGAAGAGGACAAGAAGTGAGGCGGGGAAGGGTGCGTTTTTAACGTAGAAAGATCTGGGCCTGGAGGAGGGGTGAGGAACCCTTTGGGGAGGTACAGGATCAGGAGGGCTGAAGCTTGTATGGAGTAGAATACAGGACTCTTGTTCAAAGGCCACTTTGAACCCCAGGAATATGGGGAGGGTTGGTGTGGACGAACTGTCATATTCTCATCCTGCCCCAGATTCCACTCCCATCACCCACTTGGGAAGAAGTAAAAATCCTCTGCAAAGGAACCATTATTTCTGGGCCTGGCCTGAGGGGATTTAGGGGTCTGGGACTTTATCCCAGATCCCAGTCTGGACGCATCTTGGGGTAGCCTAATTAGGGGGAGTGTTTCCTTCTGGGCTGTGGCCCTGTTCCTAGGACACTGCTCCCAAAGCACTCGTCAGTGTTTGGACAGAAAGAAGGAAAAGCCTCTTGTGCTAAGACCCCAGAGTCCTGAGATCCTGGTGAACTGACCGGCTGGAGCAGGAACCAGCCAAACGGATAGGGCCACGCCCATGGAGCCCGGGCACTCCAGGAGTCCCAGCTGCCTTCCTTCTCCCTGGAGGAGAGGACCAGCCCTGCTCTAGGAAGGTGGCCCCGGGCCTGACAGGGTAGAGGCAGGCTGGCCAGAGGCTCTGTCCCTCTCTCTGGTGATGAGATGGGAGGTGGTTAAGAGTCTGAGGGAGGGCAAGGAGAAGAGAGAGGGCGCTGGGAAACTTGTCTCTGAATCCAGACCTTGCTGGGCCCCTCTGTCCTGCTTCTTCCAGATGAGAGCCCACAGTGTGTGTGTGTGTGTGTGTGTGTGTGTGTGTGTGTGTGTGTGTGTGTTGATCACTACGGGGGAGATACAGCACTAATTTCAAGGCGTTGAAATTGAAAGTTGTGGCAGGACATGCTAGTGAACAAGCTCTTGCCTCTTCTGATTCCCATGGCAGGTTAGAAAGGGGCTAAACTTCAAGTGTGAAGGAGAATCTTAAAGAGCCTAGGAGCTGGGAAGTGAAGGTGAAGGAAGAAAGGAAGGATGGAAGTACCCAGGGGTGGAGTGGCAAGGGCCTTCTCTACCCACTGAGGTGCACAGCCAGCTCCCCTTCTGTCTTAAGCTTTAGCCTTGGATGTCTGCTCCTCAGCATCAGTCCTGATCATGCACTGCCCTTGACGCTACCTTGCACTGTATTCTTGTCTTTGAGTTGGTTCACTTCCCTCTAATTCTCAGCTATGCATGCAGGGACTATGCTGGAAGCTCCTCGTATCCCCACATCGATGCACACAGCAAGCAAGCTTAATAAGTACTTCTTTTATAAAGGAGTGCAGTAGGATTCTTGCCTATTTCTGGGAGTAGTCAATGGGCCAAGCTTCGGATCCTCTTGATAGTTATTTGCAGCTCTGCTCTGACCAGGTGAGGAGGTGAAGAGTCCACGCTCAGTCATCTCCAGGAGTCCAGCCCTTTGTTTACCCTAAAGGGGCAGGTGCAACTGAGCATTTGCCTTCTTCCTGAAATTTGTGGTAACCACTTGCTACCCTCTCATTTCTAAAACATTTCTCTGTCTGGTTGGGCCAAGACGTTGTGTATGGGTTTTCAGATTCTTGGAGAATGAAGTGGCCAGCCCTGCTCTCAGAGGCTGAGCAAATTCAGACAAGCGTCATCATCACTTGCCCCCTGGGAAATCAGAGAGCTGGGAAAGGGAGGGGCCGCATGTGAGCTGGATCCAGAGTCGGCTCCGTGTTCACACTGTTGGGTTATTTGAAGCCAGCCACATTGCTCCTGGACCTCTGAGACACTGTTTAGGATTGTGGGGTGTCGGTATGGCAACTGAAAGGCCCAATTTCTCAGGGAGGTCCTCAGTTTTGCTATCTATCCTACTGACAGTGCATGTGTCGCAAATTTCCATGTGAAAAATTTGGTCATAGAATCTGTGAAAGTAAAGGGAGATGCTGATTCCATCCCTGTCTGGCTGCTTATGATGTGGCAAAGTCTGTGACCTTTCCATGCTGTACCTTATGGGCCAGGCCGTGCATCTGGGGACATCCCCTTGAATCTCCACTGACATCCACTGGCGCAGGGAACCCACTTGTGCAGGAGGTGGAGCAGACGTGGCTGAAGTCTGAGCCTCCCAGTGGGGGAGAACGTTTGTGGTTGTTTTGATCTGGGACTTAGGTTTTCCATATGCCAGTTCTTTAACAGGCATGGGTGGGAAGCCAAGGTGTTGCAAGGAATTTCACTTTACATTATTAAAAAAGACTCCCCATTATGGGTGTTGTCAGCATAGATGTACTAATTTGCAACAACAGTTTCCTATTTAAAACCATGAAAGATTTAGGCAGGAGTTTTCCTCAGTTGGAGTTTCTTATCCTGAAAGTGAGGTACTGCTGAGTAACCATGGACAAACTATTTGCCATCTCTGGACTTGGTTAATCTCTGTGTTAAATTTCAGTTGAATGATTGACAAGGTCTACTGATGCTTTGACAAACCAATGACAGTTTGCTTTCTAGAATAAGTAAATGGCTTTAAGGAAGCTCTCCTGTGAGGTTTCACCTACTGAGGGACGTGTGCCTGCCAGAAGGTCTTCCAGTGACCTTTCAGGCCTTGCCTGGATCCCTACTTACCTAAAGGGGACACTGAGGATGGCTTTTCTGGCACTGTTTTCTGAGAGCAGAGGATGCCATAAGTTCTGGGTGAGTTTATATTTTATTTATAATGTGAGCATTTTGGAGCTGTAGAAATATGATTTGCATAAATGACAGAAAATTGGTTTGTATTTAATTTTTCTAGGTGGCACAGGCATGAAAGAGGGTGGGGAGGGAGAAGCACAAACACCCACAGTTCCCTTTGCCAATATGTTCAGATTTAAAGAGCCCAATTTCCTGCAATGGAGTGTATTTCTGGGCCATTTTGAGACCTGCCCATAGGGCACAGGGACAGCCTACAGGACTCTGAGCTTGGTGGGGGTACAAACAGCCTAAGAATCTCCTTTCTGGGAGGCCCAAGGCCCAAGGGCAGAGGATTAGTTTGAAGGTGCTGCTCATTCCTGTGGTAGGCCCTTTATTTCTCTCCTAACAAGAATCCCCCCACCAGCCTCATGGGGAAGCATGGCTTCCTTGTGTGGTGGCTGTGTCTGTCAGCTCAGCAAGCAGAGGAATCCCTCCAGTCTTCAAATGCCATTGAAGGCGGCCATGGAGGGGGCACCTCTATCAAGGCCAGGCCAAGCTGCTCAGGGGACTGTCTTGCTATAATGGAGAAAATCACCCTGAGGTCAGAGGGGAGCCTTTGGCCAAGCAGTTCATTACAGTTACAAGATTGAAGATTTATAATCTGCCTGCTTTTTGAGAAGACCAGAGGCACCTTCTCCATGACCAGCAGGGCAAAGACAGACGGAGGTTAAACTGACGCAATCCCCGAGTCTCCTGGAAAGGAGCAGGGGAGCCAAGCTTGCAGACAAGAGGCCAGCAGTGATTACACTCAGGCACTAAATTTGGTTCACTTAATCAGACAGTGCTTTTGCCTGGTAAGGTTGCAGTCTGCATATGGCCCCCTCTGAAAAGGGTTTCAAGTGGCTTACTCTCTCCCTCTGAATGCCTGTGGTCTTTGATCATCTGTTCCTGTCCAACCTTTGTAATAACCATCTACTCTGTACTGTATTTTTGGTGGCTTCATTCGTTGGATACTTTAATGGTGTGTAAGTATCTTACTTACAAGCTTTACCTGTTTGAATCCCTTCAATGACCTAATGAGCTGGGTACCACTATTAGATCCATTTAACACACAAGTAAACTGAGTATGTTTGAATCTAGGTGCTTGTAACTCTTAAGCCCAGCTCAGGCCTTCTTTTTCCTGGAATATCTTCAGGGCAAGGTCCAAGTCCGATAGACCATTGGTCTTTCATCTCTGCAGGCTCCACCTCTGGGATTCAACCAACCGTGAATTAAAAATAATGGGAAGAAAATGGCATCTATCCTGAACATTAACAGACTTTCTTTTTTTTTTTTGTACCAGGGATTG